TTAACCTAAACTTAAAACATTATATTCCTTTGGAAGAAACTATAAGCCACCATATGTACAGACCGTACAGTGAGCAGGGGCAGCTCTCCCACAGCTTTAAGGCAGATGGCAAGCATTGCAGCCACTATCATCTTCCTGTTGAGTCATTTTGAAATGGTTCTTGTGCCTGTGTGTTGTGGCTGCAGTGCTGGTGTAGAACACACTGTAACATGGGTCATCGCTTCTTTGGTATTTATTTATTTATTTATTTATTTATTTATTTATTTATTTATTTATTGCTGGACTCAACCACAGTCTGCTTTCCCCCTTCCACCTCTCTCTGCCTGGAGGATGTACTGCATGTAGGCATGCACTTTGTATTCACATATTAGAAAGCTACAAATCTGTTTTGTACTTTTTACACTGTTGGATCCTTATAATCAAACTTTTAATAGGTTATTGAACAAATTTAGTCTTATTTTTTAAAATATAGTTTTATTGATTTCAGAGAGGAAGGGAGAGGGAGAGAGAGATAGAAACATCAATGATGAGAGAGAGTCACTGATTGGCTGCCTCCTACACACCCCCCACTGGGGATCGAGCCCGCAACCTGGGCATGTGCCTTTGACTGGAATCAAACCTGGGACCCTTCAGTCCGCAGGCCAACTCTGTATCCACTGAGCCAAACCAGCTAGGGCAAATTTAGTCTTATTAGAAAACAAAAAATAACTACATTACCCAGGTTTCCTTGCAACCCTGGTTTCTGACTGTGATCTAGGCTCCACCAATGAGATGCTCCCAAGCAGGGACTCAGTGCAGACCCAAGCTGAGGCCAGGCTCAGATTGCTGTGAAGGCAGTGAGTTCATGGGGAGGTTTCTGCAGCGTGGGTGCTTCTCCTGGAACCTCCTACTTGAGTCAGCTTCTTACGGTGATCCCTTCCTGCTTCTGCCCTTTCCTCGAACTCCTTCAGCTCTATGCCCTCAATACGGCAAATGCTGTGCTGGAGGGTGGTGTGTCCTGAACCCATCACATCGCACTCTTGGCTTTGGATGTCATCTCTATCACTTGTTAACAGTGTGGTCTAGGGTAACTAATTTAACAGATGTGACCTCTCTGAGGCTTGGGATTCTTGTCTTTAAACTGGGGGACAAAACATCGATCTCACTAGTAAATTTAAATGAAAGAAGACGATAACGTGAATTCACTTCAGCCTCATTTTGGTGAGAATTTGAGGTACGGCCTCTATTGACAAAGAACATCAAAATTACCTTCCAGACGAAGCTGTTAAAATTTGATTGGGGCCCAGCCGGCGTGGCTCAGTGGTTGAGCATTGACCTATGAATCAGGAGGTCACAGTTCGATTCCCGATTCCCGGTCAGGGCACATGCCCAGGTTGCGGGCTCGATGCCTGGTGTGGGGCATGCAGGAAGCAGCCAATCAATGATTCTCTCTCATCATTGATGTTTCTGTCTCTCTATCCCTCTCCCTTCCTCTCTGAAATCAATAAAAATATACTTTAAAAAAATGAATTGGAGTCCAGATCATCTAATGATTATGACATTAGCTCTCAGCATCACCCAGGAAAAGCAATCTTAGTGAAATCCATCCAGGCCTAACTTTAGGCTTATTTCAGATGGTCTGGAAGGCCTGTTCCTTTGTGGCTTTCATTTAAAATGATGCCCACTGTCTGATCATTAACCCACTGTTAATCTGTGGGGTAGTGGGGACTCTTCTCTGCCTTTCTAAATGATGAATTAGTAGTAGGCACAGACTTGAAAGGTTTATACAGAAGATCACAAGAAAACAGCCTCCGGGCTTCCCAGTGTGGTGTCTACGCCCTTCAAGACCAGTGGTGCTCTCTGCTGACCAGAAGGCTTCAGGGCACTTTAATGTGAAAACTGAGAGTCAACAAACTTTGTCTTGAAAGTAGAACTGGCAGAAGTGGCCAAGTTCACAGCTGCCTTCCAGAATGCCTTTAGGGAAAATGACCAGTCAACTGACAAACGTGTGTTGATTGCATTCTCTCCACAAGACACTAGTCAGTATTTGGAGCAGGACTGTGTAGTGACCAGTGAAAGGCTAGCCTGGGTGGTGCTCAGGCAGGCTAAATAGCCCTCTCAGAGGTGATTTAAGAAAATTGTATTTATTTAAGGAAAGGGGCTGGGGATGGGATACCCAAAGGGAAGGGCTGCACAGCCAAGGGGACGTGGGGTGATGATGGCAGCCCCCAGGAGCAGGAGCTCCATCCTCACATGTGGTCACTGGCGGAAGCTCGTCCTCAGTGGGTCTGGGGCGGAGGTGGGCTTGGAATGGGACGGAACGCAGGTGCGCGGTCAGGTCTCTTCAGGACAGTTTCCGTTCCTTGCCTGGTCTGACTCCTGGTGTCCAGGAGTTTTTCCGGGTCTTTGTTCTGCTGTGGTGGGAAGCTTACACATGGCCATTAAAAGTCATATTCCCTACATTCCAACAACGGCTAAGAAGTGGGAATGGGAGGGTGGACTGTGTCTAGACAGATGACAAATAAGAAGGAATCAGACATAGAGTGGAAGAGAAGTTGAGGTGGGAACTGGGAAGTTCAGGAGGGACTAGGAAAAGACGTGTGTGCGCACATTTGGGTTGGTCAGGTGGAAAGAACAATGGCTTTGGAACTCACTAGCTGTGTGACTTTGGCAAGTTTCTGAGCCTCGGGGAAGTACCAGAAACTATAAGACAACTAAGAAAAATAGTACCAGGACTGGGTCGTAATGGAGATCAAGTGACATATTGCATGTCAAGACTTAGCATGGAATAAAAGGAAGTTATCATTTTTAAATGATAGGTACATTTGGTTTTTGGAGTTAAATATTCAGAGAAAACGATCTGTTCAGAAAGCCCTGAAGATACAGGCAGGAGGTGCTCTGCATCTCTTCCCCTCCCTTTGTGCATACTAAATACATTCATTACTGGTTAATTTTTCATAATTTACATGAACAGGGCAAACCTATTTTTCTTATATTTTAGATACAGAGATTAATATAACTTACTAGAGTTGCCAGATAAAACACAGGCTGTCCCTATGGGACATGTTTATATTAAAATTTATTTACAATAAAAAGTTATTTGTCATTTATTTGAAATTCAGTTTAACTGGGAATCTCTTTTTTTAAAAATCTTTGTGCTAAATCTAGCAACCCTATACCAAACACCTATGTTATGGGGTGGGGCCACAACATTAGTAACAAAGAAACAGGATTTCCGGAGGATGAGGCCCAGAAATCAGGATTTTAAAAAGATTCCCAGGTGATTTTAATGTGCAGCCAAGATTGAGAACCACTGTGCTAGAAGAACCAAACTCATTTGGAGACATCTGTTTGGCTTTCTTTGCCCTTCTGCTTATGTCAATGCAGGAGCTGAGCTCTTAATTAATTGCTACTTAAATGGATTAGCAATACCCCCTGAGAAGGGCAGCAGCTTGCACTGGAGAAAGCATAGCAAATAGTGAATAGACAACAAAATTTACTGAATGTCTAGTTCTTGAAATAGCATTAGATACTTAACACCAGTCTTCTTGGAGAGCTAGCGATTAAATTCACGCAATTCCAAGCTCGAACTTAACTCAACAGCAGAATGACATCCTAGAGTGGAGCCAGCAGGACTGCAGGTGGCTTTATGTCTCCATATTTTATGTTTCAAACATTTAAACAGCTTTATTTAGGCATAATCTAGACACCTTTAAATTCACTCATGGTAAGTGTACAATTCAATAATGTTGACCCATTTAGGTCAAACATAATTTAGGACCTAACATATGGTCTTTCCTCTAAAACCCCCCCGTATGCCCTTGAGAAGAACATGTCTGCAGTCAGAGTGTCTGTTTTGTGTTGAGTTGAAGCAAACCAATTGATAGTGTTGTCCAGTTCGTCTACATCCTTGTTGATTTTATATCTAGTTTTTCTACCAGTTACTTGGGGGAGGCGGGGGGCAGTTTGAAATATCCAACTATTACTATAAAATGTTTATTTCATCTTCGATTCTGTTCATTTTTGCTCCCTGTGTGTTGAAGCTCTGGTTTGGGGAATGGGCACATTTGTAATTATTTTGCTTCCTAGTGCATTGACCCCTGTCATTATGAAGAACCCCTTTGGGTCTCTAATAAAATTTCTTGCATTCCAGTCTATTTTGCTCAATATTTGTAAGCCACTTGAGCTCTCTATGGATATGATTTTGAATATCTCTTCCCATCACTTTACTTTCAATCTCTTTGAGTCTTTGAATCTTTGTGTCTTTTATTTCCTGTAGACAGCATATAGGTGGATGTTTGTTTTTAATCCAGTATGACAATCTTTGCATTTGATTAGAGTGTTAGACCTGACGGAGATTTTGTTCACGCAGCTGGAACCAATAAGGTTTGTCTTCTACTGATGGGTCTGCAAGTGGATGGGGTGCACATTCAAAGTCCAGGCCATTTTTAAGTCTTCCCCATGTTTTCCTTCATACAGGGCCTTTGTGCATGCCCTCTGTGTCTTGTGTATAACCTCACGGTTGCCAGGAGTGTGTGGCTAGCTTGGGCTGTCTCCAGCCTGTGCTACACATGCACATAGACTCAGCTAGGGGAATGCTTGCCTCAGTCACAAGTCAACCTCAGGCTGATAGCACCACCGCTGACCCTGCCAGACTATGCAAATGGCTGTAGGTGTCAGCCACTGCTCCAGGCTGCAAAGCTGCTGGTCCTTATGGCCTGTCCTGGGGGGAGGGATGGAGGCAGACCCAGGCAGGGATGCCACTGTTCTTAGCAGGTTCTCATGCATAAATGTTTCTTAGACTTTGCTATGACTTTGGTCACTCTCCAGGACACTTAACTAGTTGTTTTTGTCCAATTCGCCTGCTGTGTGGTTGCTTTTGGAAGGTAAGATCTGTTGACCTTTTCAGTGGCCAAGGCCAAAGTTATCAAAAGCTATTTCCTCCAGGACAACCAGAAGTCAATATTGATCACTGCCTGTCAGATCCTGATGCCTGTTCTTACCTCATGTCTTACAGAATAGAGTTGCACAGTACCCGTCAATCTGCCAGCCTAACATACGCGAGTTCAGTTATTGAAAAGGTAAAACACCATTGCCAGGGGCATTTTCCCTAAATAGCAACCTTCAGAAGAGACTTGCAGCTGGTGTGCCAATGTATAGAAGATAGATTCTTGGGTGTTTAACACTCATGAATTCAAGTTTTACAGCATCCCCCAAGTAGGAGATAGAAGGTAGGATTTCTTATGACCATTTTTCAATTGGCACAACTGTGTTATTAAATGACTAACAATAACATTTGAATGCGTAGGTACCTGGCACTGTGCTAATTGTTTCACTTACATTAGCTGTGAATCGGGTATTATTACCAACAGGAGTCCCCAGCTGATAACCGGGCTCTGAAGCCAGTGGCCAAGCACCGGAGCCCAAGTCTTTATTTTCTACACTTGGTGGCTTTGTGACAGCTCTTGAAATGTACAGGCCCAGAAGTGAGTAATCAATAGAAAGATGGTGAGTTGTAACCTATTTCAACACTAAACACAGAAACAAGCCCAGCCTGTGTGTGTCTCAGTGATTGAGCATCGACCTATGGACCAGGAGGTCACAGTTCGATTCCCGGTCAGGACACATGCCCGGGTTGCAGGCTCGATAGCCAGTAGGGGGCATGCAGGAAGCAGTCAATCAATGATTCTCTTTTATCCTTGAAGTTTCTATCTCTCTCTCCCACTCTCTTCCTCTCTGAAATCAATAAAAAAAATAAAATTTATTTTTTAAAGACAAAAACAAGAGGACAGTGTTTATGCCCAGGTCAGACTGGAAAGTATGACTAGCTTGATATAACTAGTTCTTCCCTCAGTGTGCTTGCTGGTCACTCAGGAGAGACTTTCAGCATGTCCAGCCCCTCAAGTGGCCCACACTGCGTGGGACGGCAGGGCTAGCGGAGGGCACCCTCTCCTAAGGACAGGACTCCTGCTAGTGGGCGGGTGAGGCATCACTTATTGGGAAAGTCCTTCTCAGTGAGTCAAGCTAATAAGGAAATTGAGGGCCACCCAGTTTCCTCATTTTAAAGATGAGGAAATTGAGGTTTAGAGAAGTGGCCCTTCAAAGGCCACTTCAAACATGATCTCTTCCCTGCAGCCTTCCTTGTTAGGACACTGGTCCTTACTGCTCACCTGCCTCTGAATTCCTTTAGACCAGTGGTTCTCAACCTTCCTAATGCTGCCACCCTTTAATACAGCTCCTCATGTTGTGGTGACCCCCAACCATAAAATTATTTTCGTTGCTACTTCATAACTGTAATTTTGCTACTGTTATGAATCGTCATGTAAATATCTGATATGCAGGATGTATTCTCATTGTTACAAATTGAACATAATTACAGCATAGTGATTAATCACAAAAACAATATGTAATTATAGATGTGTTTTCTGTCGCGACCCACAGGTTGAGAACTGCTGCTTTAGGGGATCGGCATGCTTCCTTCAGGGAACCTTGTTCTGGCTGGCCGAGTGGTTTGAATTTCATGGGCGATGTTAGAGCCACAGCACAGAGTGGAGCCCAAACTGGGCAGTTACCTTGGCCAAGAGCACAAAGGCTCCACCACCCTGCACAGCGGGGTGAGAAGCAGAGCGGCAGCCGCTTCTGTTTCTGAAGAAACATCTCAACACTGGCTTTCTAATAGGAGCATCAGCTTCACTTACACCAAGCATGTCAGACTCGTGGCCCGAGGGTCGAATGCAGCCCACAACGAATATTTTTGCAGCCCAGCCAATATAACGGTATGTAAGAAATGTTTTAATAAAAATTTCATAACTTAATTTTTACAATATCCTGTTATACATAATTATTAATAACGAACTACAACGTTCGCTAATGACTGATTACTATAATTGTGTTGCATTTATTTCCCTTACGCACCTTATGCGCAGGCGCACCATTTCTCTCCACTAATACCAGCAGCAAATATTTTAGCAGCTGATTGTCATGTCATTAGTCTTGTACTAACTTGTTTGATGTGCCCAACAGGAGATATTTCGCTTGCGGAGAACAAGAAAAATAGGTTTATTTGTGTTACGCTTACTTGTGCAGTTATTCAGTGTCTATAATGTTCAAGAAAAAAATATTAATTTTTATTAAAACGTTCTATTATTTTATGTTAACGATGACTCATTTATTTCAGCCCTTTGTATTCAATATGTCTCTACCGAAATAAACCTACGTTTCTATGAAAATTGAAGCTTTTGTTTGTTTGCGGCCCACATACACTTAAGCCTTGTTTATTTGGCCCGTGTTAGCCTTTGAGTCTGACATGCTTGACCTACATGGTCATGTATATTGTTTCTCTCTTTCTTCCCTTTTGTCTTTCTCCAGCTCTTGAAAATACAGAGACAAATAGGATTGTGGGCTAATACAAAAGTTTCCCAAAACTGAGCTTCATCACCCTGTGGCATTGGAGTGAGAGAATTTTTCCCTTCCCAGCCCTTGCCCTCCTCACTCTCCAAATTGAAAATGGGCAGATAAATACATCATGGGCATACTTACTCCAATGTCAGGGGCCCTAGGAAACACAGACCACAAGAATCTATTAGGTAAAGTTCCCTAAAAAACAGATTTGCACCAAGTTGTCCCGTCATCTATGGTTAGTGGGTGTTGCCATTGCTACCTCAATTCATTCTTTCCTTTTCCTTTCTTCATATGTTTCTTAACTTAATGTGATGATGGATGGAGTGGAGAAGAGCCTTTTAAAATAAAGAACCACATTTTCTGTGGTTCTAGAAAGAGTTCTGCATTAATTATGTATAATACCATAGAATTAATAATGATGAGCTTATGCATTTGTCTGACTGGAAAGGGCTCACAAGTGCACTATTTTCTGCACCAAGGGGATAGTTAGGTTCATTCCATTGTAGTGGGCTGTAACTGTAGTTTGCAGCTGACTTTTGCATTATATAGACTGACTCATGGATTTAAAATGAACTCTGCTCTATCTCTCAACGGTGCAAACCACCTTGGTTGATCTTCATGCCTTAAAACACTCATGGGCAGAGTGTGGGCCCCAATTTAAGAAAACATAAAAGGTTCATGGAAAAAACTATTTCTCCCTTACCCTCTGCCTTTGCCCTTCCTCATTCCCTCAGTGATATGGTAACTTCAAGCCCAAAGGTTACTTTGTCATAACCAGGAACATTCCTGTGTCCAGAGGAAGCATCCAGAGTTTCCGAGTACCCAAATCTTCTCTTGCCATCTTGTCCCATCCCTTTATCTATCTCTGCCGGAGACCAATTCCAGCATGTCATAATTCCAAGAGTTTCATCAAAAGGTTGATGAGACTTGGGGACTCAACAGGGTTGAGTCACACATGCAGTCACCTGTTGGGAATGGCTAAAGGCATTTCCCCAAACCTGAATAGGAAACTGTGGCTGCCAGACAGCTAAAAGGCATCTTAATCTACATGTTATTGCCTCCTATTGGCCAAACACCTGTACAGATGTAGGCTAATTCCCCCATCTGACAATGGACTCTGTGCCAAACCCTGACCCTTTGAAGTGTATATCTCTGCCTCGCCTCAGGACAAGTTGTGTTAATAAAAAGCATGGGGTCCTGGGGACAGAGAGAACCTAAGACCTTATCAGTGGTTCTCAACCTTCTGGCCCTTTAAATACAGTTCTTCATGTTGTGACCCAACCATAAAATTATTTTCATTGCTACTTCATAACTGTAATTTTGCTACTGTTATGAATCGTCATGTAAATATCTGATATGCAGGATGGTCTTAGGCGATCCCTGTGAAAGGGTCGTTCGACCACCAAAGGGGTCGGGACCCACAGGTTGAGAACTGCTGCCTTAGACTTAAGACCTTAGATCAGTGATGGCGAACCTTTTGAGCTCGGCGTGTCAGCATTTTGAAAAACCCTAACTTAACTCTGGTGCCATGTCACATATAGAAATTTTTTGATATTTGCAACCATAGTAAAACAAAGACTTATATTTTTGATATTTATTTTATATATTTAAATGCCATTTAACACAGAAAAATCAACCAAAAAAATGAGGTGACACGCGTGCCATAGGTTCGCCATCACTGCCTTAGATCTTAGCTCCTTTAGTTAAGCTCCTCTGACCCCCAAATGCCTTTCAAAATTATATCTCATCTCTGGACTCTTTATTAGTCCCCGGATTCCTATGTCATCTATGCACAGCCCCTTCTCCAGATTCCTGAACCCTTCTTGATGCTGGGACAAGAACCCCGGCATATCTCCAACACTAGCTAGTACAGAATATAGCCATGGAAGAGCTTTTAGCCCAAACACAGCATTTTCTTCTAAGTCTTACTTCTAAAAGTTAACACTACTTATTGAACTTTTAGTAAGCAGGCCACTGCCTGGAGTCTTCTGGGGTCATAAAATCTCTGTCTTGAACAACACAGGGATGAATAGTAACCACTCATTGAGCTGAGGAAAATGAATATGTCCATAACCTTTACATGTGTGTAGTCTTGGCTTTAGCTTGACATTAAAATAGATTGTTGTTGATTGACAAGGGCAGGGGGGAAAAAAGGACACATATGCAATACCCTTTGTAATACTTTTAGCAATAAATAAATAAATAAATAAAAGATAGATTGTTGTTTATTAATGAATTATATGAATAGACATCAAGAAGAGCCAAACATGACCCAGCCCAGGCCATTCTCCTAGAGCACCTGCCAGTGTTGGTGATATGGCTTCTGATGGTTTTAGGGGGACAAGAATACTGTATGAAGTACAGGTTGGTGCATGGCTGTTTCCTGTTTTCTCCAAGGCAATTATTCTCAGACACATGACAAAACAATCCAAAGTGTTTGGGCCACCTCAGCCTATGCACCATCATTTTGCAGTTTAGCGACAGTATGAGAAAGACTGGGTGGGATTAGAGTCACATGATTAAAGCGGGTTAGGCACTGGGAGGAGGTTCAGACCATCAGGCAGAACACGACATTCAAAGGATAGAGCGACAGATGATAGACGGTGGGGCAGCCCAGACAAGTCACGCATTGTCCTTTGCTGCTGCTACTACCGGTGGCACCAGCAGAGGGGGGGGCGGGGGGTATTGTTTATGTCAGGGATTGTCTAACACAAGCAAATAAATATTATTTGACAGCTAGGGAGAGTGTGGTTATAAACCCAGCATCAGGAAATCCAATGGGCAAGAGTCTCCAATTATTTAGGGGCATCTATTAAATCTGGGGCATACATTGTGAATTGCATTTCAGGAAGTTATGAGAAGTGCAGCACAAGGTCATGGCAAGGTGAGTAACGAGGGAAACTTAATGCTGGTACTGTGGTAATCTTCCTTAGCTCTTGCTACAGGCAGTATCCTTTAGGCAGTATCCTAGGGCCATCCGATACTGCCTTAGTCTGGAGCAATAGCAGCAACTGGAGCTGAAGGAAGATTGACAGACAGGCTGAAACAGGTTTCAGTCCCACATCACAGTGCTGTATTTGGACTTAACTGTCATGGCTTATATGGCTGAAAGAGAAGGCACAGAAAAAAGGAGGGCTGGCCACAGTGGTCAAAGGTCAATGGACGACACAGGTTGGGCAAAAACACACTTATCTGAAATGAAGCCTGAGTTTAGTGGGTCCGTACTGAGGAGTCACTGCAGAAGAAGAGATTTAAAGCAAAATATTGTGGCACAAAAAGTCTCAGGACCAGAGGTTCACTGACTGGCAAAGGAGCTGCTACAGATAGAGAGACAAATAAGGAAAGGATGCACTTGCCCAGGTGCCATCGGGATGTGCTGGGTTAAGGGCTACAGAGTGGCTGCCTCAGGGTGCAGAATATCATTTGAGTTTTAAAAAATTTTTTACTCTTTATCCAACATGAAAATGTCCATCTTTCTTGTCATCTCATTATTTATTTTTTACTCTGTGAAATTGCTTTTATTTTTATTTTTTTAATTTATCTTTATTGTTATGTTATATTGTAAATCAGTGAGCTTAACAGAAGACCCCTTAGTAAGCCAAATTAATTTGGAGTCTTCTATTACACTAGTGGTCTCAGAGGAGTAACCTCCCGAGACTGAGCAAAGCAATATGAAGGAAGCTTTTTCTTTATACCCTATTGGTCTTTTTGTCCCCCAGATATGGGTTTTTCCAGACCTTTTGCAGGCTTTACAAAGAGCCCTATGTAAACATTTTGCAGGCAGCTTGTAACCTTGAGCGCAGCACAACTTAGTAGCCTTGAGCACAGTACATTTCAGATAACGAACACAGAAGTCCTCAAACTTTTTAAACAGGTTCCTTTATACCCTATTGGTCTTTTTGTCCCCCAAATATGGGTTTTCCCGGACGAGTTGGCTGCTAAGCAGGACAGGCAGCGGCGGCAAAAACACCCGGCGGGCCGGATAAATGTTTTCAGCGGGCCGCATGTGGCCCGCGGGCCGTAGTTTGAGGATCCCTGCTGGATACCTGGCATGGGAGTAGCTAGGGAAGGCAGCAGGGTGGTTTTCAAGGCCAGATCAAGCAAGCTTGTTTACAGAAGCTAGAATAGCAGGGTTAATTCACAGAACAAAGGACTATTTATACTTAGTGGAAAATTCAAACAGCAGTTTTTACAAAATAGAGGTTACTATGCAGCAGTTAAAAGTATTACACATAGTGCCCTCGGTGGTTCCAGGTCTGTCTCCTGCTTTAACAGTGTTTGGACAGAACAAACCCAGCATCTCCAGCATCTATCCAGTCAGAAACACCTCTGAG